TGAGTGGCAGCAGAGCTGGGTGCTGCCAGTCCGGGCTCAGAGGGAGTCTGTGCCCTGCAAGCATTGGGAACAGCAGAGACGTCCAGCCCACAGCAGGCACAGATTGTCAGGGGTGAAGACACCTGAAAGCCATGCAGGTTTATGGTGTAAGCAGGTGCCATGTTTGTGTCTAGTAGCAAATGCAAGCTCTTGCCTCCTTGTATTCCAGGGTCAAGAAAATGCCTTTTTCAAGGACTTCGTCAGTGCTGCAGAGGTGAGGAAGGAGATTGCTCATTTGTTTATCAACACAAATGAACTAGTTGTGTTTAAAAATAAAATTTTAAAAATACAATTTCAGGAATAAATTAATCTGTGGAGACTAGGTCCAGTGTCCAGGGAAACATGAAATGTTTTCAGACCTTATTTTTCTCAAAAACTGAAAAGAGATGCTTCTGTGCTGTGTACAAATGCAGAGCTATGTGCCTGAACCAATATGTCAAACTGTCATGTGGGAGATTTGGTGAAAAACATCTTGTCCTAAGGGAATAATTTTAAACACTATATGTAGGTTTGCTGCCTCATAAGGGATCATTACTCAAATCTATTCCCTCTTAGGGTAGCTCGGCCTCTGCTTAACGGGCAGGGAGTGAAGGGAAGCCCATTAACGCGTCCTTTAAGAGTGGTTATCAGATGGTAGAGGGGAAACAGATCTCTGATCAGGGAATATCGTGTTATTGGCCAAATCCTGCGATTCGGCCTTAACAAGATGAGTAGCAGTGCGGGGCCTTCACGCTCGGCTGGCCATCGAGGGCGGCGGCGGGGCCGTGCCGAGCCGGGCAGCCGGACCCTGGGCAGCGCAGCCGTGTCACAGCGGTGAGCCAGTGTAAGGGATGAGCCCTGCGGCAAGGAGCCGTGCGAGGGATCTTCACCTCCTGTTTGTCACTTCAATCTCCAAGGAGCGCTGAAATGTGGAGTGGAACCCACTCCCAACCAGACCCCTACCAGACTGTGTGTGTGCTCTCGCTGCTGTGTCTCGCTGCTTTCCGTCCTTTTGTTGGTGGTGGTTTTGGTAAAAATGAGAAGGATGGCAGAAGCAGCACCTGAAGAGCAGCATCAGATCCTGGTGTCTCAGCATAGCATCTGCAGTTGCCTTGGCTACACCAGCCCTCCCTCAATTAGTCTCCTCTCTGACAAGAAGATGCACTCAATGTGTGGTAGCTGTGCAGGTGAACTCTTTTTTAATGGGATTACTTTACTTAAAAACTGGGACACCTCTGGGTTTGCACAGTGCTTGGTGGGGTTGTCACAGTAAAGAGAACAAGTTTGTGTTTTCATAATGCATAAGAAGATGCTACATGACAAAAGAGGCTTTATATTGAGCAGCTTAACTGCTCAGGGTCTCACGAAAAAGGGAGAAGGAAGCTGCAGGGGACTGAAGGTGTGTACACATGCTGTCTGCAGGGTAGGGTGAATGCCAGGGTCTAACCTCACTAAAGAAATGTGTTTTTTCTGAGCTGATAGGGAAAAGCAGTCTGCAGTGTGTGTATTGAATTTTATTGTGGTGCAGAACTCCTGGTTCTCTTCCTGTGTCCCAGCTGCAGGCTCCAACGCTGCTGGCCAGGCTCCTGGGTTAGTCACCACGCTGCCATTAATGCTGTGTAAACAAACAAACAAACAAACAGCAACCTTTTCTTTTTGAAGGCTGTGTGCCTTTGCAAAGTAGAGCAGAACGAAAGAGCAGCTTCCCAAATGTGCAAGGTCAGAGCAGAGGGTCGGGCCTGCAGGGAGGCTGGGGAGCCTGGCTGGGCACTCTCTTCTCACTGTTTGTCTGGGGCTGAATGGCTGGAATGTGTTTGGCTGGGTAAAGCTTGGTCAGAAGCTCTTGCCTAAAAGCAGACTGGCTCTTGAGACCACCACAGCATCACCAACAGCACTGGAGAATGACACCACCATGGGGGAGCATTTTCCAGATTTCTCTTGGTCTTTGGTCACTTCACTGCTTTGAGTTTCATGCCTTTTACATGAACATGACATGAGCTTATAGATGATGTTTGATTTCTTACTTCTGCTTCAGCATTTGCTGTTTCCAAGTGGCACACGCTGTCCTTTGTGCAGGGTGGTTGTGCTTTTGTCAGTCCCGGGTTCTGTGTCATGTCCTTTGGCTTGGAGGGGAAGTCTCCACCCAGACCATCTCGAGATCTGGGGTGTGGAGGATGGCCCTTATTAGAAGTGTACTGCTTTTTTTTAATAACACAAATTTCTTGCAGGAGTTTCTAATACAGGCAGTTGTGCAGTTTAAAGATAATTGGTTTGAAAATTCCCTGCTTTCAGTGAGGTACTTTGTGACTGACAATGATTTATCTGGAACTTGGCAGCTGTGAGGCAACCATGTGGTGACACCATCTTGCATTACCTGACTAATTTAAACGTGCCGAGTCACGTCCATCTCGGCTACCAGAACTGCTCTGGACCGTGGACACTGTGCCTGGGGAGTGCCAGGACACTGTGGCTGTGAGGGAGGAGGCAGACAGGATGGCTGGTGAAACAGATCTGCTGGGAGAGTTACTGTTCTGGACAAGCATCAGGCAGTACCTCATGCTTAAGAACATAATTCTCACCAGGTGGATCAGCACAACTTTAATTTTTTGCTACAAAGGTTTTTTTCCTCAAGACAGAAATACTGGAAAATAGTAAATTGCGCTGAAAATTTCCATCCAGATTGGCTTTGAGAATTCTTGTGCCAGTGCAAGCTTTGCTGCGAGCTCTCTTTGTTTTGGATTTGAATACGTCACTTTCTGTGCTCATTAATGACAGACAGGAGAGCTGGAGCTCCCACAGTGGTGTCCCATGGTGAGCAAGGCTTGTGTGGACAGTGTCAGTCACTATGGGCTTTGCAAACTGAGGTGAATTCCTGCTCACCTCTTTTACTTGGGTTTTCCTCTCAAGCCAAGGAATCTTGTTCATCCATGTGGGACAGATTTTGTTTTGATTTCTTTATCAATAGTTTGCTTATGGATTTTATCCACAGCAAATGGCTTAGAAAGAATTTGCTGATTTACGAACAAATAAGCCTAATTTTTTATTCTCTAATTCCTTGTGGCACATGAACTTGTTTATGTAGTTGTTGCTGAGGAGCAGCTCTGTTCTCAGTGTTGGGGTGCACGGCTGGTGCAGGGGAGCTCTGGCTCCGATCCCAACCTGGGAACGTGCCACCTCTGCCTTGGCTGTTGGGGTCTCCTGCAGCCCTTGTAGAAGCACTGCTGGGACCCCTGGGCCCCTTGTGGCAGCAGTTCAGCTGTGGGACTCTTTCCTCTTTCTGTGCAGGAGAGGAAGAGAGCTGCTGTCACAAGGACTAATCTCGAGGCGCTGGCTCTTCCTGTGCCGAGCCCAGCATGTCCTGTGCAGTCAGGGAGACCTAAGAATAAAACCAGTGGGTACTGCGTGTCTTGTGAACAAATACAAGTAAGGAAAACATTTCCTGTTCACAATTTTCTGCACAATCGCATCTGAGCTTTGAATATTTTATAAATAAAAAATGTCTTAGGTATACTTGCATTCTGGACAGTAAGTTTAATTGAACACCTGATCAAATAGTGGTTATTCAGGGAGTCTGGAGTTTTTGCCCTGTGATTTTCCCAAAGCTGTAGGACTCAGGGGTGACAGGAAAGAAGAGCAGAAGCTCCATGTGCTGGGAAGGGATCTATGCCAGCACCTCTTTGCCTGCTGGAACTTCAGGTATCGTGCAGCAGCCTCTGCTCCATGCTTCTGCTGAGCCCCTCAGTGCTGCCTGTTTATCAAAACTGACTAAAACCACCCAACACCAGCTGCAGGGAGCTGGAATCCATTTGGTTATAGATATTGTGAGCACCTTTGCCCTGCTGCTGCTGCTGGATCCTTGACTGGAGCAGCACAGGAGGGTGCCTGGAGTAAAGCAAGCACAGGGCTGGGCTGAGGTGTGCAGTGGAGCTCTGTGTGGATTTTGCACATTGCAGCACTAACCTAGAGCAGGGCTGAGCAGGCAGCAGTGCTGCTCTGGAGCCTGATTCCTTCTCCCCGGCATTGATGGCATCACATCCTCAGATTCTTGGTAGTTCCTGTGTGGTGGTGTTATGCTGTTTTAGATATGAGCATCTCTGACATCCTGTGATAATCAAGCATTGAAAGCCTTTCCCAGTTTAAACCAGGGACTTCCAGTTTGGCATTATTTTTTAATATTATTGTGATTGTGTAACAAGCTGTTCAGTTCTAGTATTGTGTCTGGTATAGCAGGAGGTTCAGTGAAAGTAATATGAATTGCCCCATGAAATGTGGTATCCCTACACTGCTTGGCTTTGTGGAACAGGAGAAAGGTGATGGGAGTAAAAGTCCTGAGATGTTAAACATTTACAGCTGATTTTTGGCATCTTTGTCATGTTCTACTCATTTTAGCTACTCTTCACATGAACTCTAAAAGCTGGAGGAAAAAGGCTTAGGGACATTGTTTAGGATGTTTCACTTAAAGTCTTAAATTTCTGTGGTTAACAGAAACTAATGATAGCTAAAGATCATACAAAGTCCTAAAATGAACGAATTTTAAGAAAAATGTTATCACAGTGCTCCTTTAAGAGGGGAAGAGGGAGACTGATGCTGGAAGTGACCACGAGGGCACGGAGGGTTCGGGGCTGGCTTCCTGCTTGGTGGCGTTTCATCATCCATTTCCAGCGGGGAAGGAAAGTTCCCAATTGTGCTGCGGTCTAGGACACACTCATCAGTCCCGGGTCCATTCAGACACATCGCTGGTTTCTCTCAGGTGCTGGGTGTTCTCCTGGCCTGGTGAACAAGATCTCACTTCAGGGTGGGCAGGCAGAGCCATACCTTTGGTGGTGACTCGGAGGAGTCCGCGCAGGAGAGGGGTGCAGCCGGTGGGGAGAGGGTGTAGCAACACCACCAGCAGGCTGTGAGTCGCTGGGGTCGCAGGCTGTGAGTTGATGGGGTTGCACATCACAGGTCTCTCCTAACCTCTCTCTGTGAACCCTTTGCAGCCCACGACCTTCCCCCGAGCAAGACGGCGGCGGCGCAGACGGGCGCGCACCTGCAGTGCCTCTCGGTGCACTGCACGGACGACGTGGGCGAGGCCAAGGGCCGGACTGCGGTGCCGACGTGGAGGTCCCTGCACTCGGACATCTCCAACAGATTCGGGACTTTTGTGGCTGCCCTGACTTGAACAAAAGGAATTATTATTTTTTTTTTCTTTTTTTTTTTTTTTTTTTTTAAATTTCAAAGGGCCGCTACTGCTAGGTGGACTATTTTTCTAGGTTGGTACCTGCTTAGTGGCATATGGACTGGAAAGGGTTAATTTAAAGTAAACCTCAACTTTTTTTTAATCTTCTGCCACAGTATGTTACCAGTGTTAACCCTTCTGCAGTTAGCACACTTTTGCTTAAGATTTTCCTGCTAGACCACTTTTTCCCATTATTCTGTAACCTTGGCATACATTTATAGATGAGGCCTTTTCCTTTTTCATCTCAGTGTGTGTCCAAGTCACGTATGTCATAATAAGACAAAGATTCTCCTCTTCCTTCTTCTCCTCCTCCTTTTCTTCCTCATTTGCTTTGTTTTTCTTTTTTTTTTTTTGTTTGTTTGTTTGTTTGTTTTGTTTTGCTTTGTTCAGTGCTTACTAGGATGGTGATCCTGAGGAGCAGCAGTTCAGGAATAAACACCAGTGAAAGCGAAATGGTCAGCATTAAATCATATGTTACAGTGACACCCAGCCTTTGCCAGTCTCATACCAACCAAGCAGTTGATGCTCTGTTGAATGTTCAGGCATGGACCTGCCCTTTCCTGAGAGAATGAGGCTCTGATTTCAGCCTTGTTTTGCTCTGTGCCTCCTGGTGAGGCCAGGATGTTCCTTCCTGTGTGTACCCTGGGATGGAGCTCTGTCACGAATGGGCTGGTTCAGGCACAGCAGGGAAGGTATGGAGAGGTTTTTCTAAATAAGTTTTATAGTCATTATCTCTTCCTCCAAAGGCCCAGGCTCCTTCTTGCTTGCCTGGGCCTGATGGTGCTCCTGCATTTCCCACTTTATTGATAGTGGAGAAGAAAATCCCCTGCACCCTGCTCACTTTTTGCCCATTTTAAAGTGCAGAAAGATGCTGTTGATTGGCAGCAGGTCCAGTGTCCCCTGCACTTGCCTGGGGTGCCCCAGCCCCTGCCACAACAGGTCCCAGTGCCGTGGCAGGGGTTAGGGATGGCCCAGGTTGGAAGGTGCACAGGGCTGTGTGCCCAAGGGTGGCATTTCCTAATCTGCCAGGGCAGGGAGACCTGGTGTCAGAATCCCCCAAACTCATTCAAGGCCCCACTTCTGCCACACACTGACAAACAGCGTTGCTGGATGCACACAATAAAAGGAAAGCCATACTTTCCTGCTTGGGCTAGATAATGCTCATTCAAAATGAAAGTTGGAAGCAAACCAGATAAAGCCACAGCTGACATGATGGGCTGATTCTCCAGTGGTTTTATGTCACACTGTCCATGATTTGTGTGTCCCTGTGCCCAGGAGTGGCCCTGTCCTGCCCCGTGCCTGCAGCTCGCCTCCCACAGCTCCTGGAGCTCAGGAACAGCACTAGAGGGTTTGTTTTGGTTGTGAAATAAAGGTTGGCCTCTCTAGGGTTATTTATTCATGATTTCACAAATGTGTCCCTGCTGAAGGGACAGAGTTGAAGACTGCTTTATATGTTACCTTTGATGATTGTGCTGGGTCTTTAATTATTTTGAGGTAATATTCTTGGTAGACACCAACGGAGAAGAAATTCTGCCTAAAAAGCCATGGGTGGTCTGGAATCCTCACTCTCAGTCATATGTGGCTTCAGAGAGACTCACAGTGTTTGGAAATGTGATTTGAATGTGCTCTTATTAACCATGCATGGATTGATTTATGGGTCTGGTCAATGAATTAACTTTGGATAAATTTGGATGGTTTTTAATCTTGATTTTCAATATTATTTTACTTTGTATTAAAGCTGGAGCTTCCACAAGGATGAGGATTTTTGCCCATCCTGGAGCAACTGGCTGTGGAGCTGCCTCACACCCACTTGGTTTGGATCAAAACCTGGGATGGTTTGTACCTCTGTCAGGATGTGCAACCAGGAGTGCAGAGCTCCTCCTGCACCTGCAATAAAATGTCACCATCGCCACTAAAGTATCTCCTAGCAATCACTGTCAGCCCCCTTCCAGAAGGTGCCTCTTTGCCTGTGATTCCTCAAGTCCTGGCTTACCTAAGTATATGTTTGATTTTAAATCCTGTCAGCAGAGCACGTGTGCTGCTGTGGGGGGCTCAGTCTGCAGCAGGGGGCCCTGGGGTGACACCAGCTGAAAATTTCGGCCAAGTTCATGGTCTGGTGGCATTCCTGCTTGGAGTGCAGTCCCTTGCCTTGTGCTTTGTTTTTAGTTTTTCCTGCTGCACTGAAGAGAACAGGTTTTTCAGGCTTCCTGAGGTCAGGGATGCACACCCTGTGCCACGGGAAGGAACCTGTCAGGGAACACCGAGTTCAGATGCTTTTAAAGAGAAATCCCCGTTTGAGTGGAGCTGTGGTGGCTTGGTCTCAGCACCCAGTTCTGCTGGCTCATTCTCAGCAGCTTGCACTTCTCTCCTGGAGTGTTGTTCTCATCCACTTGGAACTTGCTTACTCACTTGCTTATGGAAATGCAGAGTGTAAGCAATTCCCTTAAAATCAGCGGGATCCTGTGAGGTGAGGAGGTGTGCTGAGGCCAGGGGCTGTGTCTCCAGTGCTGAGCTGTGCAGGGTGGAGCCCTGGGTGCTGTGGCACTTGGCCACCCCTGGCTCTGCTCTGGGCAGTGGGTGCAGGGCAGGGTTGGGACTGTCAGAGAGGGAGGAGGTGAGGCAGTGGCTGGCTGTGTGCTGGAGTTTAACTGAACCGTACAGTCACACACAGTCCTCCTGCTGACCTCCTGTCTGATCTTGATTGAAGGAGCTCTGCTTGAGGCAGCTGTTAGCCAGGACCAACCAAACCTGAGCTTTTAGGGTTTTGTTGCTTTTTTGCCAAAGATCAGAACAGAAATTCTGTGTTCTGACCAGGACAAGCATCATGTCCTGCTCATCACCTGGGGATGTGGTACTGACAGCATATACAAGGTTCAAGCATATACCAGGTTCAAACTTTGTCACAGTGCTGGTGGCACCTGCAGTAATTTCATTGTACCCATTTTCTCAATTGATTTTACACTGAATGCACTGATCAGTTTTTTAACACATGTAAAGTGTCAGCACAGCCTGACACAGTAAGAATGGAAATTATCTCATTTTCTGAATAATAATATTCCAGCTGAAACTTTTAGGAGTTGCAGGTGAAAGCCAGTTGTGGAAGAGGTAAGTTGCACTCTTGTGGAGAGGGAAACTGAGGCACAGACAGCAGCAAGAGACTGAGGGAACAGTGGCAGGGCTGAGCTGCTCTGAGGTCTGACCTCTGCTTGCTGCAGAGCCCCATGCCCGAGGCTCACCTCCAGGGGCCGAGTTGGGTCAACGGGGAGAATTTTATCAGATGCATGTTCCCCAAATGCCTGGGAGAAACCTCCCCTGTGTGTCCTACAGGGCTTCCAGATGGGGACAGTTGGACAAGAAGGCAAAGAGGGGTGGCAGGATGCACAATCTGCCTTGGATTGGGAACAGCAGCTACAGCGTGGCTTTGCCTTTTGCCCTGGGGATTCTCCCTGGCTAGCTGGGCTGGGGGAGCCAGGACATCCCAAATCTCCTGGCCCTGTGCCCTGGCTCCCTCTGTGTTCCCTAAAAAACCCTGTGCTTGGTCTGCAGTTTACAGTGTCGTAGCAAACCAAACAAAATTTCCTTTGCATTTCAGTTGGGAGGAGCAATCAAATACCTCTTTGCCAAAAAAGGACAGAATAGGCCTCATTTATTAAATACTCCTGCAGATTTTCTCCAGATCACATTCTCTTGGGGTTACTTGCTCTCTGCTGTTTGAGCATCAGTAAGGGACTTTAGGCTTGTTGCTTAGTTAAGGTTTTCACAGTGTCTGAGGGTGGAAGGGGATGAGCACCAGAATTCTGTCACGTGGATCACCTGGGGAGGTGTGCAGGTCCTGTGGTCTCCATGGGCACTCTGGGGCTGGACTTCCAGGCACCACCAACAAGGCAAAAAGTTCCAGTTTTGGGAGGTGGAAGGGATGAGGTGAGCAGCAGTGGGATGGGCACTGGGTGGGTGGGTTCACAACAGAAATCAAACTGGTACATTTAACTTATTTTTGTTAAGCTGCAGTGTAAGGTTTTGTCAGCTACTGGATTCACAGCTGTTCAAGGGATGGTGTGTAAGAGCATAACCCATTTTTGTAGAATTGTTTCTTCTTTAATGCTTAAGGCTAATGGAGGAAATAGTCTAATTTTGTCTTAGAAATTCTCTATTAAAATTGTTGCTTTGAGTCCATCCGCTCATAGGTTCTGACTGATGAAACTGCAGGTTCTGATTTCCGGCAGTTACAACTTTATCACTATTCACTACCCAAGAATATTACAGCTTTAAAACAGCCTTAAGCAAAAGGATATTATTTCTTTGTACTAAATTTGGTTCACGGAAAAGAAAAAAAAAGAAACCTCAAAACACTGGTAATCCGTACTGCATTAGCAAACTCTTCTGAAAAATGTTATTGCACATGTAAAATATGAAAACTTGACTCTGCTGTGTGTTAGGCAATCCTGTAATCTTTTTTTTCTTTTTTTGTTTTTTTAATTCTTGTTAAATTCATTTCCTAAATGCTTGGTTGGAAGACTGTGACGATAGCTCATGAAATTGAGTGTTATTTTTCTTTTTTTTTTTAAATATGTAAAGTGCAGTCTTCTGTATTCCTGCATATTGTACATATCTGTATATGTTTTACTGAGCAACTAAATAACAATAAATATGATGTTAATGGTGGCTACTCTATATTTCATACCAGGTTTGTTGATTTATTTTAGCAACTCCTTTTTCCCAGAGGTGTGAAGAAGTGAATGGATACTGCTCATATTCGGGTAAGTTCTGGACCTTGTGATGGGTACAAATTTGCCCATGATCTCAGGAAATGTGAGGTGGTGGCCCTGTCTGTACACTGAGGTTGTTGGTACCCTCTTTGCTGCTGGGGGGTGGAGATGTCTGTGCAGCTCTGCCCAGATGCTGCCATGGGATCTTGGGGCTGTGCTGTTCTCTGTGGCAGTGTCTCTTTCTCCTCTGGTCACTGGAGCTTGTCCAGAGGGGCCAGAGCGTGCCTGGAGCTGCTGGGCAGTGGGAGCAGCCCCTGGGGTAGCTCCCCAAGCCCCCAGCCCTGCACAGCCCTGCTCCTCCTTTGTCCTAGTTGTTCAGTAAAACTGCCCACGAGCTCTGTTAATGGTTGGATTCACACAGCTCCTCCAGCACACGAGGCCATTTCTTGGCTCCCAGATCTCCCACTGTGCAAAGGCTCCTTTGCTTCTGCCAGCAGCTGGAGCAGCCCCTCCTGCTCCAGCTACGCTCCACCCCAAGCTCCTGCTTCCAGAAAGGCAGCAGGAGCTCCCTGCTCACTGCACATCACATTAACAGTTGAAAATCAACTGAGAGGGCTTTGATTTCTGCTCTTGACACTGGCTTTGCTTGTCACCTGGTAATGTCACCTCTGCTGATGCTGGCACGGTGCCTGCCTATCCCAAACACTCGCCTTCATCCCAGGGCACTGTGCTCAGAGACTCACCTGGCCTGTGTCAGAATTAAGCATGGATTATAGTTTATTAAGTAAAGAAAAGCAAGTGGTTGGTCCTGGAGCTTTTACACTTCTTGCTCTTCTAATCATTTCCTGTGGCTTGTGACAGCGCTGAGAGCTGAAATCTGTCTGTAGCTGCATCTCTCTGCCCAAGCCATTTAACTGATTTAATTATGTCCTTTGAGTTACTTTCTGCATGAGGCTTTGGAATTCCTGTCACAGAGGAGACTGTAAATCTGTGCTGTATGTTCAGCAGTCAGGAATCCATTGGCAGTGCAGCTGGATCCCATGTGCTGGGATCTGCTCGGCCCCTCTGTGGCCACCACGTGTGGCTGCTGGGCAGCTCTGCCCCTGCAGTGCCAGCCAACATTCCTGCAGTGCTGTCTGGGGGTTCTGTGTGTGATCCAGAGTCGTTCAAACCCCCTCATCCCCTGCAGTTTGGGTGAGCTGCTTGCAGCTGGCTGCTGGTGCTATGGGAGTACAGCAGAAGGCATCTCTCTCCATAAAAACCAAGGTAAATAAACACAGGAACGAAAGTTTGAGTCTATGGCATCCTTTTGGCTGAGAAAGTTGTTAGAAAATAGAATCCCATTACAATGGATTTCCTTTAATATGAAGTATTTCCAAAATCCCTATGTCATAATCCTGAAGTTGTTATTCTCCTGTCTGGGAGACAATTTGGAGCTCCCCCAGCAGGTTAGCATTACCACCAATAACAGCACATATATTTTGCTTGTAAAATGTTTATATTTTGCTTGTGAAATGTTTAAAAACTCTCTGCTCAGGTGAGCTCTGTGAGGCTGTGCCTACAGGGCAGAGGAGTGCATGGGGGTGAGGTCTCTTCTAAGCTCTCCTTTCTGAGACATTGCCAGAGCTCAGTAATGACAGTGCAGGAAGTGGAGGTGACAAGACCTGAAGAAAGCCATGTAGGTCATCTTTGGTTCATTAGTGCAGGGCTGTGCCCTGTTTTCTAATGCCCAGAGCGCTGACCAGCACAACCAAAATGGACGGAGTAGTGGGGGTCCTTAACCTTTTATTGAAAAAGAATGAAAACAATCAACCAACCCAACATCCCTTCATTCCAGCTGTGGAGTGGGGATGATGTTCGGGGTGATGGAAGGGGATCCATGGCTGCCTATTTCCAGCACTGGCAGGTAGCAGAGGGTTTGGGAGTTGCCAGGGGTGCTCTGACAGGACCTGGGGGTCCCTGGTCTTGGGACAGCATGTGATGGGAGGTGGGATCT